CAGACAGAAACGGTTAAACTTCTATCAACCATAGACAATTTTGGCCGCACGAATTTGGATTGGTCGCAAAAGGCACATCAATTTTTAAGAAAATCCGGATAATACTGTCTCAGTATCTTAATTTTGAGTGTATAAATAAGTGAATTAAACATTTCAAAGTGTCGTTGGCAATATGATTCACGATTTGTCTGGGCCTGAAAAACTTGATTTTTTATTATCATCTTAACTGGCTGATTCATGGATCTATATTACTGCTGCAAAAATCGATTTAAATTAAGGGAATAGACAGATCTTGCAACCAGGAACAAATGATTTCTACTGGGAGAAAATTTTGCTTTAGAGATAAGAACCAGAAAAGACAAAAACAGATTTAGCTAAAAACTGTTTAACTTAAAGAATTTAGTAATGAGAATCAGTAAATTTAGGACTTGGGTTAGCACACTATCTCCGAAATAGTCAAAAAATCATTAAGAATTTAACTTAAAAGTAGGGATCTGCGAAAATTTCAATTGCGTTTTATTGAAAATTCTGAGTTTTATGAGAATGCGAATCGAATTATTTGAAAGAATCAAATTCTGATTCCAAAAGATGACATGACGAAATTAAGAATTTTCCGACGAAACCTTCATTTTTGGCTGAATTCATAGAAAGTGCTGCAGTTCCGACATTATCTCTGGATAATGTTAATTTATAACGCTGGAACTGCAATGCCGTTAATGATGTTTTCTTTTGAATTTCAATGAATAACAACAAAAATAAAAGAGATAATTGTAAAATTTTAAAAATGAACGAAAGTCTGTATTAGTCAAATGTAATAATACAAAACAGCTCACCGATGTGATGTCGATCCTGAAATATATTCCGATGTTTCTTCGAAATCCCATTCTGATTCCGACAGCTAAAAATCTCCCATTCCGCATTTGATATCCCACTTATCTGCGCATCCACAAAGCCAATGTAGTTTTTTAAAAGCTCCGACAATCGAATTCAGACTTTTTACAATTTTGAATTTTGACAAAATTTGGAATTTTAGACAAACACAGACCCCTACTTATAAAGGCACAGTCAAAGCGTAACATTCAAGATGTAACCAATTTTGCATTCAAGCAAAGTCCAACATTCAAGATGTAACCAATGTAGACATTAAGATAATGATAAATAATAATAATATTAATAATAAATAATATTAATAATAATAAGTAATAATAAAAATAAGATTGAAAAGAGGAAAACGACATGCATGTTGCTGGTGATGTTATTATTGTTCCTTATTAAATTTATTATTAACGTAATCAGTTCGACTTTTAATGATGTTTGGCGTGCAAGTCCCTGGGGTAATCATCAAAAAAATAATGTTGTTGTTTATGAGGGTGTTGTGTTGATGTTGTTGTGTTTTTGTTTTGTTGATGTTGTTGTTGCTGATGTTGTTGTTGATGTTGTAATTGTGTTGAATTTGTTGTTGTTGTTGATGATGATGTTTTTGGTGTTGATGATTTTTGTTGCCTTTGTTGACTTCATATGCTTCTGATTCTGGCACGTTGTATGTGTTGTTGTGTTGTATTGCTGTGTTTTTGTTGTATTTATATTGATTACTATTGTTGAATATCTAGGTATCGGCAAGCTTTATTGTCAACGTTGAAAATATTCTGAAGGTAATGTTGACGGTAAGGTTAACGTTATGATGCTGATGAAAAATTGCAACAATTACATCACCACCAACAATTACATCAGCTACAACAACAACATGCAACACAGTAATAACAATAAAACAGAAGCTAGCCACAAAAACACAGCAAATCAGTTCTAATGTTAGCTCAGTCGGTAGAAGTGCCACGTGTCGCACAGCTCTTATGCACTGGCATGGTTCGAATACTGTCCGTCCAAAACCTCAAAGATCAATCAAACGTTTGTGACGAGGGGCTTGCTCGTGTGCACATGATATGTAAATGGGAATAGTGTACAGCTTTTGGGGCAGGAAAGTTTAATTACAAGTATACAACAACATGTTAGCAGCTTTGTATTTGACAGAGCTGCGTTTACAACAAGCACAAAAAACACAGCAATTACGACAACACAGCCAACCACACACAACAACAGCACAGTCAACCACACACAACAACAACACAGTCAACCACACACAACAACGACAGAGCAGAGTTTGTTGTCAGTCGTTAGGGATCATTGATTTAATTCAAATTATCATACAGGTGTTGAATGACATCATCATTATCATCATCATCGTCGTCGTCGTCGTCATCGCTTAGAAAACTCATCCTGAAAATTCATCCAGAAAATTAAAATTTTATTCACAATTTTTAAGAAAAAGTTGGCAAATATTTTGGTTTTCATAATTTTGAAATATAGGAGAATATAGAAAACGCGTGGAAACTAATGAAAAATAATTTATTTTTGCACTCAAATTGTTTGCACTTGAAATGATTTGAACGGAGAGATTAATGTAAAAATGACAGGTAGACAGATGCGAATCAGTGAAAAATTAAAATTTTTTTAAATTAATTTAATTGAAGTTTTTAGAGAAATTAAATTTAGATTGCTGAGTTCAAAGAAACTTCTCTAACTTTTACATAACATATTTTTAGAAACATTTCAAACATGCAGTCACCAAATTAATATTGTATAGAATTGTTCGTTTTTGGCTTGGAAGTTCGTGTTTGCAGTGAAACTCCTTGAAAGACTTCGTTTGAGGTTTCTTAATTTTCCGCTATTTGTTGCCTAAATAATGTTGTCCTATATTTATTTAATGTTAACATTCACTTATTGTTAACATTTTTAATGTATCGTTAATATTCGTATATATATATATATAAATATTGAAAATATATATATATATATATATATATATATATTTACAATATTCTATAAATTCTACCGAATTTTTGGCGTTAATATGTTTGTAGTTCGTTTTGTAAAAATTATGGTCTATTACCAACACACACACACACACACACACACACACACATATATATATATATATATATATATATATATATATATATATATATATATATATACGAATATATATATTCCCATTTTGACAAAGTCAATATTTCCCTATATAAACAGCAGAAAGCACTGACGATGATTCATTCGGAATCGAAATATGGCCTTATTTGCAGCATGAATTCGGAAAATAAGTTTATTTTGAATTTTAATAAACTAAACGTCACCAAAAAAC